GGTTTAGGGCTTTGGGTTTAGGGTGCAGCGTCCTCCTTGAGTGTGGGGGGGGGGGGGCACAGGAGGAGCCTTGCCACGTCAAGAACAGGGAGGTAAGCACTACAGATACCCCCTGGTTTAGGAGGTTTAGGGTTTAGGGGCTTTTGCAAGTGCTGTGCTATGGTAGGTCTGGAATTTGGAATTTGCGAAAGCTGAGTTTTCTGTACTGAGAACGAAAGACAGCCTTGGCCAGTGGCGAGATTTGAAAGAGCCGAACCGGCTCCAAATACTGGAGAGCTCCATGGACTCTACCCCAGGTCATCCGGGCCTGTTCTGCTCAAGCTTCGGCGAGGCTCCGACATTATCGGAACCACTTCTGAGAAATCGTAACAGATTCGTCGTCGTCATCGTCGTCGTCATAGTAGTAGTCGTAGTAGTAGTAGTAGTAGTAGTAGTAGTAGTAGTAGTAGCAGTAGTAGTAGTAGTAGTAGTAGTAGTAGTAGGAGGCTCCTCGCGGCTCCGCGCCGCCTCCGACGCCGGCTCGGGCAAGCCCTCACGCTGTGACAAGGCCTCCACATGTCTCAAGTGCAATCGGCAACGGAGTGCTGGGCTGCTTTCGGTTTAGGGTTTAGGGTTTAGGGTTTAGGGTTTAGGGTTTAGGGTTTAGGGTTTAGGGTTTAGGGTTTAGGGTTTAGGGTTTAGGGTTTAGGTGCTTTCCTTGCTTAAGAAGGTCTAACTCCTACCAACTATCACAATTAGTTGCGGTGGGTGCTGTTGGTGCATGTTGAGGCCGTCGCCTGCTGTTTCTGCGCTCTTTGGGATCCTCTCCTTCAGGGTCCTACATGTCCCTATGTAGGTTCCTTTAAGGGTTCCTTTAAGGGTTCCTTTAAGGGTTCCTTTAAGGGTTCCTTTAAGGGTTCCTTTAAGGGTTCCTTTAAGGGTTCCTTTAAGGGTTCCTTTAAGGGTTCCTTTAAGGTTGGAGCAGTCATGTCGGATGCTAAAGCCCTGAGCGCCCGTTCAGCTCCTAGAAAAAGGAAGCCCTACCATTTACTGTATATCCCCATTATGGCAACTTAAACCTTACGTCCTAAATCCTCTTAAAGGAACCCTTATAGATCCCTTAGAGGAACCCCTATGTATCCCCACTATGGTAACCTAGTTTAAGTTCCTTAACAGCAACCCAGGTCGCAGCTCAGTCTGATTACAGGCCCGGGCGCCCGACGGTAATTAGGGATTTAGGGATTTTGGGGATTAGGGATTTGGGGATTTAGGGTTGAATGGAAGACTCTTGTGGCCCAGTAAACCATCCAGACGAAGCTGTGAGAACCGAGTTCGTCGGGCAGAGGTACTACTTCCATATACTGCATAATTCAGAACAATACAAAACACTTCATACATACAAACCTAGACCAAAATCTATAATATCCAACAAATATAAGAAGTATAAAACTGAGAAATCAGGCTCCATGCGCGCCTTTGAAACTTTCTGGCGTAGAGAAGAATGAAAGCAAGCGCTTCACCCTCAACCCTGAAGCCTAAACCCTCAACCCTGAAGCCTAAACCCTCAACCCTGAAGCCTAAACCCTCAACCCTGAACCCTAAACCCTCAACCTCTGAACCCTAAACCCTCAATCCAAAAACAAAGAGCAGAAATCAATCAGGCTCAGGGCTCGCAATGATAGAAAAATCGCACAAGCCAGCGCCCTAAACCCTAAACCCTAAACCCTAAACCCAAAGCCCTAAACCCTAAAGCCTTCAGCTCCTTGACCTCTCGGGTGAAGCGAGCTTCATCCTGCAAAGGTGCCATGAGGTCCTGCAGAACCGGAGGATGAGGGTTTGGGGTTTAAGATTCCGAATTTAGGTTTAGGGTTTAGGGTTTAGGATTTAGGGTTTAGGGTTGAGGGCTTTAGGGTTTAGGGTTTAGGGTTGAGGGTTTGGGGGTTTAGGGAGACTCGCGATGCAAGCTTCCTCTTCTACTGCTGATACTGCGGCTGCTACCCCTGTGTTTTTTGGATTCTGGATGTTGCCATATTCAAGTTCATCACATGCCCAAAGGTCTCTATCACACTGCGCTGTATTATAACATTCGTGCACTCTTACATCACCGCCCGGCAAAATGTTCAAAGAGGTCTCTGTAGGGACATACAACTACAATGTTTACGCGGTCGTATTGATCAGTTCATTCCTGAACATGTTAGGGATGCCTAGTCTGCTGCATCTCCTGCTTGCAATAAAGTACCGACGAACATTGGGACGTAGAATTTGGACGAGCGTTCATTCATGTTTTGCTCTTTTTGTGGCGCCATCGCAGCTCCAGGCTGGTACGCAAAGCCTGTCAGCACATTGACATTCGTTCGTTCATGCGAGCAGAGAACTTGTGTTTAGGCGAGTACATATTGACAGTTGGAGAAAGGCAGACCTGCTTTTCTTCCGTGCGCCGATGGCCTCTGTAAAAGTATATACTGCCTCGAATCTCGAACCCCCTAAACCCTAAACCCTAGATCGTGAAAAGCGTAGGCTTGACCTGCCGAGCACGTGGCCTCTTAGGGGCTGAGACAGCTGGAAGACAAAAAGGCAACCTGCCCGAAAAGCCGGGAACCTTCTGCTACACAGCAAGCATGCCTCTCAAGGGTTCTAGCCCAACAGCCAACGAATCCTGAACCCTGAACCTCCCACTCTAACCCAGAACCCTCTTTCCTACTGGACTCAAGTCTAGCCAGAACCCTAAACCCTAAACCCCAAACCCTAAACCCTAAACCCCAAACCCCAAACCGTAAACCCCAAACCCCAAACCCGGAACCCCAAACCCTAAACC